AAGTGCAGATTTCGTGGCAGGCGCAGCGATTTGTGAACCTTGAAGTGCAAACTTCCTGGCAGGGGCAGCACTTTGTGAACCTCAAAGCGCAAATTTCGTATGATTTCGTGGCAGGCGCGGCGCCGGGTGAACCTCTAAGTGCAGATTTCGTGGCAGGCGCGGCGATTGTGAACATCGAAGCGCCGATTGCATGGCAAGCGCAACATTTCTGTGGATCTCAAAACCTCTGAAAAGAGCTCTTGATATGTCTGGATCTGAGGACCTCTGGGCCTCTCTCTGCATGTCAAACCCTTTCTGGGCTTTTCTGGATCTCGGCCTTTAGATATCTCAAGACCTCTGCGCTTCTTGGACCTTTACACCTCTAGATCTGTCTGGATCTCCAGGCCTTTGCATCTTTGACCTCTCTGCATCTCAACTCTTTAGATGTATCTCAAAACCTCTCTCAATCTCAAAACCTCTAGATCTGTGGGTGGCTCACAAAAGGCCTGCTACGTTGGAGTGGCACTGCTACCTGGAATGGCTCCTTCCTCCTCCCAATTTTACCGCCGTATGGCTCACAAAAAGTCCCTCCTCTAAATTTTGCCCTCAGGCTCACCTTGGCGTGGTCCTCGTCTAAATTTTACCGTCAGGTGGCTCACAAAAGGTCTGCTACGTCTGGTGATAAAAGGTCTGCCACAGTGCCTCACGGGATGTATGACCGGGAGATGTCCAAATCACCCTTATCGCGTGACCCAGGACCCAAAGACCAAGACTAGAGGACCAAGGATCAAGGGACCAGAGGACCAAGGGATGAGAGGAGAGGAAGACCAGAGACCAGGACAAACAAACCAGAGGACCAAGCGAGCAAAAAAAACGGCAGACAGGACCCGAAGGAGTAGGCTGATACGAAAACGAATTAGTGTCTTTTGATAGGAATCAATTGTTTGATACGAATCAAATTAGTTTTTGATAGGTATCCCCCAAAACCGAAGGGCCTAGTTGACGCCAGCCAGTGTGAATCTCATAACGTACATCCTCCGAAGCATCCTGGCGCACAGAATTCGTTCTCACCACTGTTTGGAGAATGACCTATCCTGCGTTCTGGTAACAATACAAATGTGGAAAGCGATTCTTGGTGATCACTAGACAAAACATATTTGTTTTCATTAGCTACGGCAGAGTTTCCACGGTCCTCTTTACTCTCCAAATCGCCCCACTGGTTCTCTGAAACCATTGGTTCCGCAGCAGCAGCGAAAGAAACTTGACGAGCAAAGGCGTCCTGAATTGCCGCGCCTATATAGAAGCTGGTTTGTATTAAGGTAGGAATGACATCCCTCTCCTGCAAAACATCAGCGTCTTGCCTGCCCTCGAACCCTTTATCAGGAAGCCCAGTCTTACACAACAAGGGCAGTATGGGACTGGCTTTGCATTTCAAAGATTACATTCAGTGTCTCTGTGCTTGGGTTAGACCAAAGGGCTGAGCGCTCCTCAGACTTCCATGGTCTAGGAGAACAAAACTAGCGCCTCTGAATCGCAACCCACAATCCTAATAAGTTGTACACATACCGAGCAAAAATAAAAGATCGTGCGTCTGAATGGCACACCCTTTTGAAGGTACGGCATTGCTAAGTTCGCTGCAGGTATTCTTTCAACTAAACGTTCCGCCACGAGGCAAAGCTGCGAGTGCTGCTTCTGGGAACAATGTCATCATCCCGCATCAGCATCTGGAAATGCGCGAAGACTTCTAATCTACAAGCCTAACCAAGCTCCCTTCTCGACGAATGAAGGAGACTCGATCCTTCAAGCATATTGGCTGAACGTAAACCCATAATTCCCACCCTGAGAATACGACATACCAACCTCTAGAAGCAACAGCATTAAGATTGTATTTTGATGGGTTGACCAGGTAGGAAGGCTGCTTTGGCCAAGTCACAGCTGCTGGGCGGTTCTGGGGTGGCTCTGGTGTGGAAGCGGAAGGCGATACTTGACGCCGCCCCTCCAGCTCCTGCCAGGAAAGCAAACACACAACGGCCTAAACACGTGGTGCTATGTTCTATTCCAAGCACATGCCGTGTCCAAATTGCAATCAGAACGACAAATTGGGTGCAATGCGCATATATTGCCAGGGAGAGTGCTCAGTTGAGCCTGCTTAGTTCAATGAGTTGGTTGTTGCATCTTATTTGGCAGAAACCAAAGGAGTTCTCCTTGTCTTCAAAACCAAGCCATTGCAGGATTACACTGAATATCTGTCAAAGAGCGGCAGCTCTCCCCTGCTAAAACAAAATGCTCATGTGCTCCTTGGCGAGGAACTTGCTTGCCATTTCACTGGCACTCCGGTGGTTGTCCGCACTCTCACTCTGCAGCAGGCTCTCCTGGAAGCACAAAGCTTAAAGCATTCAGCGATAGCTAAAGTGATCCAACGAAGGAACAACCCAAGATACACTGAGGTGTCCTTTGTAACAAGTGTTGCTTTTCCATTGGACACTCTGAACATTCAACTTTCTTTGAGACCATGTCATCTCCAAAGAACTCTTCCTCCATGGGAGAGCGGCTGTCACAAAAAGTTCGCGAGAAAAGCGATGACCTTAAAGCGCTCAAGCAGCTCTTCAAATCCGTGCAAAGTGTCATGAAGGAGAGAGAAACAGAAAGAAACAAAGGACGGACTTCTTGAACTATTGTGACTTGCGTGTCACAGCACCACAAAGCAGAATCCATTAAGAACACCGATTGAACAGTTTCACAACTAGAATGAAAACCTTAGTCCACCCGCAATGATAAATCATATCCGTGCACCAATATGAAAAATGACTGGGATGGTATATCGCCCCATGTTGTCAAGGCACCCCCTTCCAGACATCGAGAAAAGCATCTCCAACCACAACAAAACAAATTGGCAGCATATATGGCAGACAGTAATAGATCTCCCAGCTTGCTTGTAAGAAAGCACTCCGCGCATTTGTATGTGTATATGTATACAGTATACACATATATATATATACACAGAGAGAGCGAGAGATCAAAACTACCCCAGCATGAATAGACCCCTTCTAATAGCATTTTGGATAAGAAAAATCGGGGGACGCCTTCTGCGGTTGATCAGTCTCTTATAACCCCAACTGGAGATTGGTTGCAAAATGAGGAAAGATGCAATCAAAACGCTCCAAAGTAGCACGCAAACGAGTTCCACAGTTCAAATGGAAAAGCTTCGATTCAATCAGAGCCTTCCAAAGTCGGATTCCAAGCTTCCACGCGGAAAGTTGCGATCAGGGTCTGGTTTCAATTTCGATCCCCTGAGGCTTCCTGTTTTTGGGGGTCCGCTCCCCCCCCCCCCGCCTCCCTGCTACCTGCAAGTAGCTACTACCGACAGGACGCAGGATAGCTCACCCTAGCTCCCCCCGCCGCCCTGGGGAGCTTCCTTGAAGAAGCGCTCGGACTAATGATTTGGTTCCTAGATTATTTTTGGGAAACTTAACTCGTAGCATCTCGTAGCCATTTTGGCTCAAGCCTTTGAATGCCCCCAAGGTTTAGGATGTCGCTCAAGGCGGTATTCTCCGTCGCACATGACATGGGCTTTGGGTTCGGGCGAAAAGCGACTCCTCTCTTTCGGTGTGTAAAAGAACCAAGAAAGTTGAGGAAGTACTGCACGTTGCTATTCTCATCCAGTGGCTCATTCAACTGCGTTGAGCTCAAGCGTATAGCCTCAGCTTCCTCACCAGCAGCTACATGGTCTCGCGCTGCTAGGAGCTTCACGAGAAGGCTTTCGATTTCTTGTAAAACTCCTGACAAAATCAGGAAAAGGTGCGCCTCAAGAAAACTAGCCAAGCGTTGTGTCGAAAATTGAAAAAGTGCAACGCCTCTAAATTGCCCGTTTATATGTAAAGCCCCCAACACAGACTTGTTGGAGTCTTTGATACAAGCTTCTGTTGTGTGGCCTGCTAAAACCACGAGAAGGGTCACAGTGGATGACACGACAGCAAACTTTCTTGGGTCACCGCTCTCCAAGCTCTCCTTGAAGCGTCACTTGCTCTTTGCAAGGCGCTGCCATTACATCATTTTTGTCAGGGCAGGATATCACCAGCTTGTGGCAGAACTGGATTGAGCAAAATGGCTGAACAAAACCCGCAACAATAAGCCCACGGCACCTGCGCCCAAAAAAGGGGGAGTGCGCAACCGTCAGTCGCACTAGGACAGGCTCACATAGGATCAAGTTTGGACGGCTGACTGTTTACCACTGAAAACCTGAAAACCTGCACTTTCCTATCAGCGCGCAAACATCCTTTTAAAACTGGCCCCCACAATATGCACCCTCGAGCATCAATCCTTGACAGGTTTCTAGTAAAGTGCGGGTTTAGAGTTGCCAAAAGCCTTGCCGTTCTATTGCGCCACCTCAGGAGTCACACTGCATGGCCCTGGCCTGGTTCTTCACCCCTCCGAGGACCAACAAGGAGCTGCCGCAGGGAACCACGCAACATGCGCGTCGGGGCTCCTCATCGAAAGAACCAGAAACCGCCAGAACTGGGAGGGCGGCATAGTGAATATGATCTTTTTCTAGGGGCTCCTGGCCTTACTACTAGGCGCAAGGACGCTACTAGGGG